AAATATTATATATTATGATTAAATTAAAAAATTTACAATTTAAAAAATTTATTGATGATTTCCTAGTTTTTTTACATAAATATTTTTTATGAAATGACTAATCTTTATGTTGAGTTTAAAAGTTATCATATATGTTTTTTGGAGATATTAGAAATTAAATTATAATCCTATTATAATCAAAAATTTAAATTTTAATTATAAATTTTTTTAAATAATTTAATGTTAAAAAAATAAAATCGTTATAATATTAAGATAAAAAATATTTTCAAATGCTATAAATTTATATAAATCTTAAATTTTATTCAATACTTAACATTTTATATCATTATTTTAATTCAAAAACTAGATCTTAGTTTTGAAATATATGCGGTGTAATTTTAGAACTATTCAAGATAATTATATTAAAAAAAAATTCAAAATTGATTTTTAGTTTCTAGTTTTCATAAGTGAGTAATTTAAAAATATAATCCTTAATTATCATTACACAAAAAAATCAAACTGTTTGTCAATAATGATTTTTGCATGTATCTCAGCGCAAATTAATATGCATACAGTTGATTTGATTTTTTTACAAGTATTACAGATTTTTTCAAAACATCAAATTTTAATCCGTGTTTAATGCAATATCTACTCTAATTATAGAATTTGGTCACTTATTTCCATCAATTTTTCCATATGATTGAGCTCATCTTTATCTCAATAAAATAAATTCTTACAATCTTTTGAGTGTTGGCTTAAAGCATATTAAAATGCATAGTTGTATGTTTGGTCTGCATAATACTAATATTTAGAGTTTTCAATTATAGTCTTTACTATTGTTAGATTTCAAGAACATTCTCATGAAGATGTGATTTTCATGTACAAGAAAATCATATAGGAAGACTTGATGATTTATGGAAAAAAATTCAGATTGTGGTATATTGACTCTTAATGTAAAGTTGTAGAATGACCAAAATTTTCAACATACTATTAACTTATACCTTGACATAATTGTCAATAACTACAAACTTCATGACACCTTATAAAAAACGTGATGAAATCAGAATATGTATATCAGCTATATAGCATAAGATACAAAGCAATTTAATGTTTAATTAAACAATCATTTTAGATAATTATTTGTCATTCAGACTTTTAACATTGATATTCTTTACTCCTTCTATTCACTTTCAAATTTACATTCAACAAATTGAATGTATCTTTGAAAGTGTATAGAAAAAGTAAAGAAAGTTTTCTATATTTCTATAGTACATACTTTAGAAACAGTAAATTTCACTATGTGTCAAGTTATTAAAAATGTAGTGATGGTAATAAATTATTGTTATTAAAATTGAAGTGGAAGTAAATTTTAGTTATCATTCATAGTAATTAAATACGGTTATTGCACGCACGACCTTGAATGTAATTGCTAATTTCAAATGAGCGCAATTGATACATTCAAATCTAAATCAACTCTGACATAATTTCGTTACAAAGCTCTATTTTGCTTGATGTGTCTAAATATTTTAAAAAAACCTGCTAAATCTGTAGAAGCATTACATATTGTGCAACAAACTTGCTCGCGTTTATAAATAAAAAACAGTATATAATTGCAACACGAGAATGTTAATGTCGTTGCACTGGAAGATACTAATTTGACTGAAATGACATAACTACCCACCAGGTTTATAGTCAACAGGTTCTTTATATTGCTCTGGACAGTATAATGTACAAATTGTGCATTTCTAATCGGGAATGACACACCCAACAAACAGACCACGAAGTTAGGGAAAACTTAATTGACTAAAATGAAATATTATATATATTTTTGAAATTTGATCAACCAAGGTAAGGATAAACAGATAGCTCTTGATTTAGTTTTGAACTTAATTAATCATCGTCCATTATTTTTGATAATGATTACTAAAATTATAATCAGAAAAATATATACGATTTGATATCAAGTCAACGCTTGATAAATGAAAATCAAGGTCTACATTCCAACAACATGAAACTTTAACAGCTTTGAATTTACTCATCTGTAATCTCAAAAATAAACATATTCAATGTAACGTGCTACTATCGACTCCAGCTACTTGCCCGTCCACATATTCTAAGTAAAATTTACTTAGAATATCTCATAATGCACTTTCTTTTGTAATAAATCTTTTTTGAATGGAACTCTTAATATTATCTCCGCAAAAATGCCACTAAAGTTTCCTTTTCCTCTTCAAAACATGTATTTTGTTGTTGATAAAGACACGACTGAAAAGGAGTTTTTTTGCCTAACCTGCATGATTTTGATACGGTCTCACCGCAACACTGTACGGTAACCGTATACTTTCATCATGTTTCCCGTTTGAAGATAACATTTCTGACATGTCATGTAGGTCAAGTAAATCAGATCATGCAGCACACATGGAAACGTATTCTTGAGCTCTAGATCTATACTCTACGGAAGGTTCCAAATATTTTACTTTCTTTGAAAGCATGTAATACTTAGCGTGTATTAGATTCACGGAGATACGAAAGTGTCCTTGCATATCGTCATCTTTAAGATTTTAGTCACTTCAAGAGTTCCAACTTCTATGAGCTTTTAGCAAGGGCTGGACTTCTGCATTCATCTCGGATTGCCTTTTCTACATCCTTCAAGAACATTGAGTATCAGACCGTACCGGAACTTAGAAATTCTCTGACCGGGGCACTTCCAATATCAGAATATCTTGAAGAGATAACTCCGAGGATTTGAGTAAAATATAGATCTTTGCATGTGGCGACTTCTTGTCATGTTCCGACATCTCAGAATAAAATGATGCCCCATCTGAGTTTCTCTGGGAGAGATAAAGCGAACCTTCTCTCGTTGGTTGCATACTTGGCCCTTGCAAGCAGCGTTTTGTCCTCGTCGGACCCCAACATGTCCATGCGGAGTCATTGTGGACCAACGGCTGGTGTTTATCTCCGTATGGATCTCTCTGCGCGTCACATGGATAAAGATTGTCCTTTCGTGGGCATGGGCAAGAAGGGATTGTGCCTTTCATGGCAGTTGCACACAGAATCATCATAAAGACCGCTTTTTCTCAACCCTTTTTTGCATGCCACATTTACGATGTACCAGCGTAATTAAGGCATGGCGGAAAAATTACCGGAGGCTACTCCTACCTCCTGACTCCGGCTGTCCCTCCCTTGTTGAGAAAGTAGACTGGTAGAGGCGGCAGTCCAGCAGAGGCAAACTCGTCACGATTCTGATCAAACCAGAGGAGATGGGGCTCAGTCTGGCCCTTCTGTGAATGCAATCCGCTATCTACTTGGTGTTTTCCCGCACTGTAAACATCGGTTAGTTCCAACTGGTACCTGGGAGTAGTAGCACTCTCAGATCCTTCTGATTTTCTGCGGTTTTTTTTCATTAACAGCTAGGGAAGCAGATTGCGAGTTCATAATCTGGTATTTAGGAAAGGAAAATATCCAAGGCATCCGATGTTATTAAGAAGACTGAGGATTGCGAGTTCATATTCTGGTATTCAGGAAAGGAAAATATCCAAGGCATCCGATGTTATTCAGAAGTCTGAGGAAGTATGCTTTTGCTCATGTGACAATTATATTCTCTTTTAAATTCTTCACATTATTAATGAAAATGTGGTTTCATGAATAATAGAAAAAAGCAATGATCTACATATGTTTAAATTCTAGTGAACTAAATTTTATGTGAGATCATATGTTGAAATGGACATTTCAGTATCTGACATCCAGTTTTATGCTATTTAAATTTATCTATAAACTAAGGATTAAAATAAAATAATTATTTATTTTCGTGATTGTTCAATGGGAGTTGTTAATTGTCATTCAATTTTTACTAATTATCATTCACTTTAATATATTATATAGAACATAGCTATATGATTTGGTTAGAATGTTTACTTAGAGTTGTGTGATATAATTTTCGTGCAAAATGAGTACACATTAGCCCAAACTATATTAATAACCTGCCACTTTATTTAATACTATGATGTTAAGATAAATGTTACATAAAAAGAAATCTCTTCTCTTTCATATAGAAACTCATACTTTATCATGTGCTCTATACAGTTTTCAAATCTCTCATAATATACAAAATAGCCTATGATCAATTACGAAATTTTAGATCCTAATTAGGCTGAATAACGTTCAGAGTTAATCTTGAATTCTCGAAAGTAACTTCTGAATTGTAGACTAGATTATTATAATGACAAGTATTTACTAGGGTTTTTGACTAGTTTACACCATTTTCATGTTGTGAAGTTGAGGTTGTGCTTTTAGAAGAATTTAGACTTGTACAGTATTAACATACTATATTTCAATTCGACAGTGCTTTATAGTATGATTTATACTCATCGTTATCATGCATATGTTATAATTTTGCATGTATTTTCATAGATTACATCTGTCCCGAGAGATGGAGATATGTAGAAAGGAAAGTTGGACTTGTACGACTTCATTTGCTTGCTGTACAATGAAAGTATATGAAGGAAACTGCACGGTGTTTTTATTTTGTTTACTTTATTTTGCCAAATAGTCAATTGGTCAACAGTCAAATATCGATTGGCAAAGAAGGCAAGTTTTATCTTTGTTTCTATATATATGTACACAATAAAATAAGATTGTATATTTTATTCTCGCAAGTGATAAACTATTTTTGTTGTTTAAATACGCAGTAACTTATTTACAAATTTACAATATTCTATTGTAAATTTTTATTTATATCGTTTATTTTCTTCATATGAAAAATTTAACATGTGAATTTCCGCTTTGCTTACAATATGAGGAAAAGAATGATTAAGTGTAATATTCATTTTATATTTTCCCTCAATATTTTATCTGCATGTGGCGAATATACTTTTCCTCATAAATTTGCTATTTCTGTACTTTTACTTCATCCAATCTTCACCGCGTTCACCGATGTTAAATATTCTAACAGATAAAATTCTCTGTTTACAGGTCAATTTTTCATTCACACGCCACAGCACGTTCATAAGTGTAGACAAAATGGTGTGGATAAACAAGTAACTGAGGCCAAAAGACCATATTATATATCAAGATCTGCAACATGTAACAAGCATGCCCCGCCTTTCCGAAGGGTATATGCTCATACAGATGAACTCTTCTCTCTTTCGTGGCTGTCACCAGTAAACCCAATCTCTCGTAAAAGCGATCAAAATTGTGCGACAGCCTCCTGGCCGCCGCATCTACTTCACATCACAGTAACCGAGCGATTCCGACTGGTAGCTTTCGTACACACGTTAGACTTGATCCTCCTGAGTTACTAGAAGTAACGGAGAACAAAATCGCAATGTCCCAACACCCAGCAGTTCAGGTACAGAGGAGGGTCCAGATGTCTTTAACTCCGGTGAGTAAAACAGAAGGCTGATTACCACGGAGAAAGCAGGATCCAGAACAAGTAACCATTACATGGACAGACCGTGCCGCCTAAGGGCACCTAAGAAAAGAACAAGAGCAGCTATCACGTAAGCTTGAGCCGATCTCGTGCTCCAAAACTGCACCTACCAAATGGCAATCAAAAGTTCGGACAAGTATGAAAGATCTCAGAGCGAGTGAAATGTCACATCCACGGATAACTGAAGCGGCAGGCCCTCAGACGAGGCCCTCCCTTTAGGTGTTGGGACCAGAGAGTGAAATCATCACAGAACCAAAGAGACTGGAAGCGCCCGGAAGAGCCCAGACTCCCAACATTAGGAAAGTATATTCACAAATTAGAATTCTGAGTTGCGGTTGTCAGTTCTCCATCTGGATTCGCCACCGCCGGCACCTCCTCCTCCGTAGCCACCGCCGGCTCCTCCACGGCCGTAACCACCACCGCCTTGGCCGCCGCTGCTGTACCCTCTGTCACCACCACCACCACCATAGCCTCCACCACCGTATCCACCACCGTTGCGGTTTCCACCATCACGGTTTCCACCGTATCCACCACCGCCGCCGCCGTATCGGCTACCTCCACCACCACCACCACCGTATCCACGTCCGCCACCATATCCACCACCTCCGCCTCCTCCATCCCTGTTCCTCTGCTGGGCCTGGTTGACAGTGATGTTACGACCATCAAGCTCCTTTCCATTCATGGATTCGATAGCTTCTTTCATCGCGGCCTCGTCGTGGAAAGTTACGAAACCAAATCCACGAGACCTTCCGGTTTCACGATCGCTAATAACCTGCAGTCCACCAAACATCGACCATTAGCAGAAAGCGAAACTTGTCTAGTGAGGAGCTAACGGGCCTGGCAGCCACATGACTACAGATGTACTCGTGAAAGTAAATGAAAGCAGAACGATAGGACTACAGGCTTGCAGTGTGAACACAGGCACTCTCATGCTCCCAGCTCCGTTGATCACAGGCACATCGAAGGCGGCCAGGCCACAGAAGTATGCAATCAATTGCACGCCCCGCCCTTACACTATCACCAGTGCAGAAACCGTGCGTCCGCAATACTAGACAGATACTACAACGACCGTCGCAATAACAGGCCGCTTTGGGCAAGTCCCTCTCGAAGTCGAAGACCTGAGTAGGGCACCTTGCGAAAAGCTTCCGGCGGAGAGGGTTCACGGAGGAGATTGGCCGGCCACGGGGTCAAACTCACAAGCAGTTCAGTACGAGAAACACACGGCGGTGACAATTCAAGCGCCAATAATTTACCTTGCACTCGACGACTTCTCCGAACTGTCTGAATGCATTCTCAAGACGCTCATCGGTGGTAGCCCATGCGAGGCCTCCTACGAAACACCTGTATTCGACATTACTTTCGTTCGGATTCGATCCCATGGTGCCGACACTCCGCAACAAACCAAATCGGCAATACACCGCAAAAATCCCCCGATCGATAACGAGAATCTCGAACCCGACGAACCACGGAACCAAAGCTTAGCTGCTCGGACGCAGCGGGAACCAGAAGTGAAAGCCTACAGAGCACAGCCGAAGTGACGTGAATTTATTGGCATACACCCCGTGAACGCCAAGTTCTGTCACAATCCTGACTTGAGCTCGGGCCAATCTAACCCTAACTCGACCCCACACCCACCCTAATGCCACAAGGTAGTTCTCGGCTGGACAAATAGCCTTCCGGTCCACCGCCTGACCACCGCCCGATCCAGGCTCATGCAGTGCAGCGCCGTCGGATACCCGCATTCCCGGGTTCTCGGGTTTCAGGCACGACTGCATCCTCCTTTAACTTAAGCGGGTCCGGCTGTTTTGGCCGATGTCTGTAGTGATTGATCCGAGCTGGGAACCCTGTATCGATAGACATGACCCGCACTTCCATCCTCACCGTATGTGGTCGCGCATCCGATGGTTTACCGTCAAAGCCCCTTGGAAGATGCCCCTGATTCGATGCGCTAGGCTCAAAGCTTACATTTCACATTCATGCACAGTAATTCTCTCGTCTCCGGCCTGCGCCCTTTGCCGGCCCCGGACCTTCTTCCGGCCCGGGCAGGCATCTCGTTGTTCGACACGAGTGATGAAAAACGTGCTGCCATGACTGACCGTAGCCACTGCTGTACAGTACGTTCTGTTGCGTTCCGTAGGTGAGCTAACATCGTGATGAATTCCTCCTTACGCATAATGGCGCGTTTCGACATAAAAATACTCCAATTTATATCCTCTCGTGAAAAGCAACCACATTTCACGTGTTGACCCGAGCCTCCTACGACGCCTGCCATATACCTCCTACACACATTAACAGTATTCTGTAGAGATGACGCTGCTACATTGCTCAATTCGTCACTACGTTTAGCTACGGATGCCCCAAACTTGGGTTTGCACCGGATAGGGGTGTATTGTACCAGATAATACATACATCAAAACTTCCCATGTGTCTGGAGGGCAGATTAGTTGGGTCTTTCGAGTAGACATGTCCAGTTTTCTAATGACAACAATAATTTGAGAAGGGGGCGGCTAGTTATCTATCCCTTGGTTTAATTAACATTCATTCATTGGTGGAGATTCGTTATGGTATCCGTGGGGTGTGTCCATGATGCTTCCTTGGCAAGAGCCACGTCAAATCTAACGTAAAATAATATGTGTCATAGAGATTAAACTTTACAAATTGGAGAGTCGTTACCACCCTCCTTACCATAGATCAATCTCAATAAATCTTACTCCTTCGGCGTGGTTATGATTAACTTGACTTTGGTAATCATGCCTGCATCTAGCCCCAATAAGAGTTATCACTTAAAGACATAATTGACAATATTGTGCAATTTTTGAGATCTAAACACGCACAGCTATCAGAATGGAAGGCGCGAAGGAGAGAACGCATAGCATTCTTCTGACGCTCTTCTGTCATCATTTTAGTCTTTCGGCCAGATACTTTGATAACACTATCAAAAATATATTTTGACAAGTGTCTTGAACAATATTCTTGCTTGCAAGGCACGAGTTTCATCACAGTGAGCGGATCAAAGCACTTAGTGATTTCAAACTCAACGCTTACTCGGATTACAATTTTCATGATGTTTGAACATAGATAACAAACGTAGATGATACTTTTGCTAATTTTTTCTCTTCAACAATCATAGCGAAAAATAAAATCTTTTGATTTCGTCAAAATTCCAAGAGTTCTTGGATACTCAACATTTGGAGTACTGTAGACAAACCAATCTGGAGCTGGTCTTTTAACATAGCACATTGAAAGATTGTACGGCGAACAACTTTGGCACACTTTAAACATTTTTGTTAGAAGCAGGTTTTGGCATACTACATGAAGTGCATTAAAGATCTTCAAAAAGTATGACTTCCTAAAAGTGTTAGTTGTAATGACATATTCCTCCAGCCATTGACGACATTTAGAGGGGAGAGTCCCAAGAGCGACAAACTTCATCCATCCTAGGACACAAGATTCACAATAAACCTCTAACGCGGAGGTGGTAGACATGGCAAACGTGGCTCTTGCCATGAAGGCATCATGGACGAAGAGTGGAAAGAAGCAAAACTCGCAAAGTTTATTACTCACTCCACAAAACCTATAACCCAAAGCCATCAATGAATGACCCTAATTAGACCTTAGTGAGGAATAACTAATCGGCCCCTTTGACAACCATGTGTTACTCCGTTGCAAGATTCTACTCTATCTCGTGTATCTGAAAGCGGTATCGCTTTATTTTGACCGTCGCCATATCAAATGAATGGCTGTATATTCTGTTGCAAAACAATTATGTCTTATGCAAATCAATTCCTAGACAAATATAATTAGACTAACCAGTGAAAGTTTAGCTTTTGTCAAGTTTTGACATACGAGTTAATATCAAAATTACGAGTTTCATTATGATTTTGAAGTAATTTGATAATGAAAATACTCGTGTGATGACGTTTGATTTAAGAGATTCTATGAAATGATTCTAAGATGACTTATGGTTTCTATGAACATTTTGTCACGATTATGTTATAGTCAATTTTCGATGATAGCAAAATCTAATATTTGAAAATATTATTGTCAAAATGGTGAAAGCATGTGATCATCATAACACACAAGAGTATGTATATTCATGATACATATATAATGAAATGATTATCTAAACATATGTTGGAAAAAGAATATCTTTCAAATTTTTAAAACATTAGGTAAATTAAAAGAAAGTTTATTTGACAACTATATCATAATTTGTTCATATTAGAAAACATTATATGAAAAAATCCATATGAAACTTAAATCACTTCTTGAGATCTAACACAGTTCATTCAACCTTGAAAAAAACCTTCATGACAAAACTACAGCACACGTTTTCCATGTTACAATACGATTTATGGTTTAGGTACAATCCACTATATGGCATGTATATTATTTAGCTCTGTAAAGGGAGAAAACTAGAATTAATGAACTAGAATTTAAAACTTAAAGATTTATGTAACATTCCGGCACAAAACATGTCTTTTTGTAGTGATAAGATTGCGCTGCTCACTGTTGATTGATCGACACAGATGACGCATTACAAGAAGCGGCAAGTGCTTACTGCAGAATGCAAAGATGGATCGTTTGGTGATTTTGGATAGAAAAATGCGGCATTTCATGAGTTTGAATCTGGCATTGAATACACGTATCGTGAATCAAGTGATCGAGGTCTGATCGTTGGTACATAAAAAAAAGTACGAGCTATTGCATGACTTTTAATGGAGTACAAGTTTCCTAAAGCTTGAATCTTTGTCGATTATGACTTATAACAATGGATCCATCCAAATCCGGGTGGATAAAGTGCTTGTGTACGTGATCGCGTATGGAAATTTTAGCAAGCCGCAAAAGATGATCATGAAGTATTTTTTTTCAACAAGAGACTTGAAATATTGAGATGAAAAAGAAGAGACGAATACAAAAATTTAGCAAATGTCTTCATGTTGTAGGCCGTAATCTTAAAAGCAAAGATGTCAAGGCAAGCATGGGTTCAACATGATATACCATCTGCAATGGATCCTCACCAATTAGAAAGTGCGTTCTAAGAAAAGACAAAAAGTCTGGCCGGTCTCGTCTTGAACGCAAAATCTCTAGAATATGATTACATAGAGACAGTGTATGTATGACGTTAGCTTGGGCAGCATATTATCGGGATTCATCTAGCTTGCAATATACTTTGGATCCTTCTACGGCTATAGAATAGACCGTGCTTCTATTCGGTGTGTGTACAATGATTCCATCATCTTGTACTTGTTCAAGAACTTAGAGGGTTTAGTGATCACTTTAGAGCATAAATCATTCATTTGACATTGTGCTTTGTAGCAAGGATGGTTTGATAGATCATCTTCATTATGAGGAGGTTCCACTCGTAGCTCCATAAGCTTGTCAAAATCCTAAACCTAAATCCTAGACCCTCTCGTTTGCAAACATCAAGAACATTGTTGTGAATCTCTTGAATATTCACAATTTCATTTCGTCACAACAATCATTTATCACGCCAAGATACTCCCACAATAGTAGTTCGATCTAATAATAGTAGCTTCATCCCCACGCTACAGCCGCAGATTAACGAGTTACAATAATTTGTATTGAAACATGGATGATGATGGACGGTAGAGTTGTCAAGAAGTGACATCAAATTAAATGAATCATGTAAGTTTCGATAGAGTGTTTTGCATTTCGCAAAAATTTCATCAAGTAGTTTTCACTTCATTTTATGATAATGTTCTCTTACATTTATTTCAATATATTTTAAAATAGATGAATGATGAAATGATGAAATAAAAACATTTCAACTAATTTTTACTTACATGTTTCACATGATATTGAAACAAATCAAAATACATTTACTATTATTCTATCACATCTTGATTTGCATTTGTATGCAGTTCAATTTATTATCATAAAACACATGGTTTGAAATTTGTTATTCTTAAAAAATATTGATCTTCATGATGCATTAAAAAAGCTTGATAGTTGTATGCTTTTACCTCAATTAGAAGAGCTTTATTTATAAATTTATAATATTTACATTTATTTTTTGTAACATTTGTTATTTTACATGTGAATAATAAATTTGCATAAATTTTTTTGGTGAAAGATGATGTATCTCTCAAGATGCGTTTATGCAAATAAAAGCAATGAAATTTTTTCTTTTGTCTAGTCCTCAAGCATATAAATAAGTTAAATATTCATATCATATCGATCTATATATTTTTAGAAAGATGTAGTTTTCATAGTTTTAAATTCATAGATTTATAAATTAAAATAAAATTAAAGTAATAGAATTTGATTTTATAATTTTTGAAAACTTATTTCTTACACAAATAGATATTATTTTACAATTTTTGTTGCTTATAAATTTTTTGAATTATATGACTACAATATCAACAACATGATAATAATATATAAATAATTAGCCCATTTTGCATGATCTGTATACCTATTAACGAAGATGTTTCATACTTTTTGCTAAATTAGTTTTTATATCTATTATTGAAAGGGGTTGTGGATTCGAATGATTCAGAAGTTGAGTTTCAAAATATTTAATAATGTTGTATACATATAAAAAATAATACATAAAACAAGGAATAACATGAAATT